GTTTTTACTCTTAGGTAAGTTCCTTAGCGTGGTTGTCAGGTGTAACCCTAATATTTCAGGCAACAGTAACACCCTTACCTGTGTTCCCCGGGAGGTCTTCCTGTAGTATTTCAGGTAACAGTAACTCCCTCACATGTGTTCCCCGAGCGGGTTTTCCTAGTATTTCAGGCAACAGTAACACCCTAACATGTGTTCCCCGAGCGGCAGAACAACCAGAGATCTTACTGAGATAAATGGTGTATGAAGTTTTGACCGTAAATTATACTCGGTAAACACTAACTCAATAGAGAGCTGACCTGCCAGTCCCAGCGGAATACAGCAACACGGAAGTTTAGATTCGTGATATTGTTGTGGCGTTTTCTTGAAGGAGTGACCAAAAATTGTCCATTATTGTGTTAGTGCTTGAGTGTTCATACGGCTGGGAAAGTCTATATCAAGGTGTTTCTGAGCCAAGGGGACCCAGGAACTGTTCATAGGGGCGTTAAGTGGGTGCTGATTATACAACAGACAGAGTATAGTCACTGGCAGTGCTAGACTACACTTGTAAAACAGGGTATTCCTCAGAAGAGAATGAAAAATGTCAAACAGACAAGTCAGGAAAGGCAGATTTGGGTTTGCTAACGCTTCAACTGCCAGGGTTATGAAGCACCACCGTTCCTAAAATAAGGTTTATACAACAGCTAACTTTATAGCTGCCTTCATTGGAGGTGTTTTAACTACTATAGAGTAACTGAACCGCTGCAGAATGAACTCTAAAACGCATGACATATACAACACCTATCCACAAAGATACCCCGAAAAACCGGAATAATTGGGCCAGACCAGTCCAGAAAATGTGAAAGTCCGAAAAAAGCGATTCTATGGGCGTCTGGACATAAGTAACCCTTCTTATCTGGACTGTTTCCCAAAAGTCAGGCGTAAGTCTGGTTTATGATAATTGTTATTACAGATATGACTGTTTCGTACTGTAAAGTGTTTACCAATAGTATAAATAGTAGAAGTGCTTCTCCATGTGTGTTGAGTAGGAGTGTGCCACCAACCCAGGCTGCCCAATCATTACGGCGAGTTAGATTAAAAAATCGTGAGTCCGTCAGGCGAGTGATAATTTTGCCTTATGTGAAAGTGAAGGAGACCTCGTAAGTAGATCCTACGATTTGGAAAGTTTTTATATTGAACAGTTCTAAAAAAGAATGTATGAATATTAATTAATACTCCTCAGCTGACTCACTGAGGCACCACCAACACAGGAAAAGATGGTGAGTGGACTTGTAGTAATTATCATTGTGCAACAGCAATAAAAAAATGCAGATTATTATCGAAAAAATGCCATCCCAGGCTTTAAGTTTAACACACAATCAGCCAGAGAATTTGGGTAAAATAATTCAAACAATGGTGATGATAATCCTCCTGAGACGAGACCAGAAGACAAGCGCGTATTGCACCAACCATTTGTCACACACACACACACACACACACACACACACACACACACACACACACACACACACACACACACACACACCTGCCGCACTCTATCACCACCAGATGTATCCATTTTGTGAGCCAGTGTTTCCACCACTAAGAGTTTTTAAAAGATATCCCCACATGTTTTGAAAACAATTAAGGGCTAATGGAAATTTCTGTGGGTTAGCGGAATTTTTTGGATTCAACAGACCTGCCAAATGTGTTCGAGGTGTTGGTTGAACTTGTGTTTGTTTTCACCCTCACTATGTTGATGTTCCATTGCCATAAACCTGTTTTATGTTACTGGAGAAACAGAGCCATCTAAGGACACCTCTGTTTGGGAAGGCATGAGTCAAACCCTCACTCATAGTAAAACAAGCTCTATCAATTCTCAGTCATTTTTTATCTATAACTTTAACAATACATGTACTGTTCGTGGTTCGTTTAACTTAGCATACTACTATAAACTTAATGTTAACCGAACACAAACACAAAAAGTTTGTAATAAACTGCAGTTAGCGAGGTGCAGCGCACTGGTGATACATATGAACATAAAAACATAACATAAGAAAATAAGGAGTCTGCAATAGGCCGGTTGGCCTGTGAAAGGCAGCTCCTGTTGAGAGTTACTACCACTCTCTGTCATCCATGAATCTATCTAGCCTCCTTTTAAAACTTTCCAGCGTCCCAGCACTTACTACAAAGTTGCTAAGCTTATTCCACTCGTCCACCACCCTATTTGTGAACCAGTTTCTTCCTGTCTTCCTCCTAAACCTAAACTTATCCAACTTAAATCCTTTGCTTCGAGTCCTATCCTGCTCGTATATTATAAGAACTTTATCTATATCTCCTTTATTGATTCCTTTCACCCACTTAAATACTTCTATCATATCTCCCCGCACTCTTCGTCTTTCTAGGGAATGCAAGTCAAGTTTCTTTAATCTATCTTGTTATGGAAGGTTTCTAAGTCCCGGAATAATTTTCGTCATTCTTCGCTGCACCGACTCTAGTGAATTGATATCCATTCTATAATGGGCACAAGAACTGAACAGCATAATCGAGGTGTGGCCTGACTAGCGCAAGATATAATTGCAATATGACCTCTGCACTCTTGTTACTTACACTTATAGATATACAACCCAATACTCTGTTTGCCTTATTTCGAACATTAACGCACTGTTTCCAGGCCGAAGGTCCGGGCTTACAAGTACCCCGAAGTATCTTTCACTAGTCGACTTCTCTAGTTTGATGTTTAAGGCTGTATACATTGACAGTATTTGTTCTTCCACTATTAAGTACGCTGCACTTGCTGAGGCACGTGACACCCAAGCACGTTCGAACACCATTGTAAAATTAATTTAAGGTTAACAGAAGACAATGAAGAAAGATTTAAAGAAAATTAATGAATGAAAATAAGAAAGTAATGTGCCTTAAGTGCGTGAAGGTGAAAGAAAGAAAGATAGAAGGAAACAAAGTGGTCGTTAGCAAAGAGCAATATATCACTACAGAATCTCATAATAGCAGTCAAGATTTAGCACAATTTGCTAAAACTCGAAGGTGGAACTCCCGAGCTTGAGTGAGTAATAGAGTTGATGAGTGGAAGCTAAACAAACTTGGCCAACGATCAATGTCTTACTAAAGTTGGCACAATGATCACCTTCCTGCAAGACATTAGCCTCCAGCGGCCCAGTAGTCTACCTGCCCACAATCACACCTGGAATATTCATGACTGCAAGACGCCGAGGGAGATGCTCTGTTTTAAGACGTCTTCAATACAAGGCTGGCAAGGTGTGTGTGTGTGTGTGTGTGTGTGTGTGTGTGTGTGTGTGTGTGTGTGTGTGTGTGTGCTGTAAGGATAAGATTATAACACAATTATTCTGTTGATACTTAGAGAAATTATTTAATTTATTTAACAATTTAATGGTAAAATACAACAAAAATCAATTATTGCAAAATTTTCAATGAATGTTAATTATTATGTTATTTTATATAAACAAATTATATATACATTTAATTCTATCTTAATGTTAACAGTAAACAATCAACTGTAACTTAATTAACATAGCATTTGGCTTCTACACACACACACACACACACACACACACACACACACACACACACACACACACACCTCTCTACTTCCTCCAGTGGTCACAAATCCCGACTGAAATCCTGTCGCTTACTGCTGTAGGTCCAGGCAATCCTTCCTTTACATACAAGGTGTTGTGGAAGTGAAAGAAGTATCGAAGGAAAGCTTACTTGGATTACCTCTGTTTGTATCTATTTAAAGAGAGAACAGAGGAAATAATGATAGAAAAAAGTGTGTAATGAAGAAACGGAGATAGACAGATAGAGAAACACCAATAAAGTGATGGAAGGATAAGTTAAGAGAGAAATTATACATCTTTATATACTGGTATCGTTATTGTCATCATCATCGTCATCATCATCATCATCATCATCATCATCATCATCATCATCATCATCATCATCATCATCATCGTCATCATCAAATTGTCTTAATTATCGTCTTCTACTTTTGTTATTCACGTTTAATATCAATTTCTTTTATCAACCCTTGTGGTCGTGTTTGAGTTGGACATCACCCCTTCACCTGTCTCCATTACACCAGAAGCAACAGGTGGTGGCAGTCGTAATATAGATCAAGGAACAACAGCTGCCGGAGTTCTTGAACGAATTCTTGAGATAATATTTTACCGCCAAACAGGAAGGTACCCAAAAAAAAAAGTGAATTTGACCACCGACATATACTGTGGTTACTCCAGTTATTGTGAACACTCCATTGAACACTGCTGTTATTGTGAACACTACATTGAACACTTCAGTTATTGTAAACACTCCAGTTATGGTAAACACTCCATTGAACACTTCAGTTATTGTAAACACTCCAGTTATGGTGAGCACTTCATTGAATACTCCAGTTATTATGAACACTCCATTGAACACTCCAGTTATTATGAACACTCCATTGAACACTTCAGTTATTGTAAACACTCCAGTTATGGTGAACACTCCATTGAACACTTCAGTTATTGTAAACACTCCAGTTATGGTGAACACTCCATTGAACACTTCAGTTCTTGTAAACACTCCATTGAACACTCCAGTAACTTTAAACACCCAGTTAAATGTGAACACCAGTAAATGTGAAAACTCTTCCACTCGCACCTTTTTCTAACGGTTGGTTGCTCGTGTACGTGGAACCCTGAGTCGATCCGGCTGTCAACTGGTACCTGACTTTACAATTGGTGAAATAAAGGCTGTTGATTACAGTGCCGTCTCCCCTATCTCTCTGTGTACTGAGGCTCGGTATTCAATGTTGTATATCCATCAGGTTTATACGACGCATTGCTACTCCTACACTAAGAAATATACTGGGTTGATTGTCATTGTCTAAAGATATATATTTGACTCCTTATAGTAGTGTAAGTCAGTGTACCGTATTATAGCCTTGAGTAACAAAAAGATATGTAAGTAATAACAAACATTAAATCTCTTGTAACGAAACATAAAAGTAACGCTAATGTTAACGCTGACGCCAATGTTAACGCTGACGCCAATGTCAACGCTGACGCCAATGTTAACGCTGACGCCAATGTTAACGCTGACGCCAATGTTAACGCTGACGCCAATGTTAACGCTGACGCCAATGTTAACGCTGACGCCAATGTCAACACTAACGCCAATGTTAACGCTGACGCCAATGCCAACACTAACGCCAATGTCAACGCTGACGGCAATGTTAACGCTGACGCCAATGCCAACACTAACGCCAATGTTAACGCTGACGCCAATGTCAACGCTGACGCCAATGTTAACGCTGACGCCAATGTCAACGCTGACGCCAATGTTAACGCTGACGCCAATGTTAACGCTGACGCGGCGTAACGCTGACGCCAATATTAACGCTGACGCGTGTTAGCGCTGACGCCAATGTCAACACTAACGCCAATGTTAACGCTGACGCCAATGCTGCTAACGCCAATGTCAACGCTGACGCCAATGTTAACATGACATAATGCCAACACTAACGCCAATGTTAACGCTGACGCCAATGTCAACGCTGACGCCAATGTTAACGCTGACGCCAATGCCAACGCTGACGCCAATGCCAACGCTGACGCCAATGCCAACGCTGACGCAATGCCAACGCTGACGCCAATGCCAACGCTGACGCCAATGCCAACGCTGATGCCAATGCCAACGCTGACGCTAATGCCAACGCTGACGCCAATGCCAACGCTGATGCCAATGCCAACGCTGATGCCAATGCTAACGCTGATGCCAGCATGACGCTAATGCCAACGCTGACGCTAATGCCAACGCTAACGTTGATGCCACGCCCGCTGATGCCAATGCAATGCTGACGCGAATGCCAACGCTGACGCTGCCAACGCCGATGCCAATGCCAACGCTGATGCCAATGCTAACGCTGATGCCAATGCCAACGCTAATGCCAACGCTGACGCTATGCCAACGCTGACGCCAATGCCAACGCTGATGCCAATGCCAACGCTGATGCCAATGCTAACGCTGACGCCAATGCCAACGCTGACATCAATGCCAACGCTGACACCAATGCCAACGCTGACGCCAATGCCAACGCTGACACCAATGCCAACGCTGACACCAATGCCAACGCTGATGCCAGTACCATCACCGACACCAATAACAAGACGAGGTAATAAAAGTAATGTATCTCTGGTAATATGAGACTTAACGAGAACATTTTGGTCTCTCAAAGACTCAGTAGTATTTACCAAGTCTCAAGAAGCTGACCGAGACTCAAGCTGGATTTTGGAAGCCAAGGAGAGAGTCTAGAGAACGAGTCATAGGAAGTGTAGAGAACGAGTCATAGGAAGTGTAGAGAACGAGTCATAGAAGGTGTAGAGAACGAGTCAAATGAGGTGTAGAGAACGAGTCATAGGAGGTGTAGAGAACGAGTCATAGGAGGTGTAGAGAACGAGTCATAGGAGGTGTAGAGAACGAGTCATAGGAGGTGTAGAGAACGAGTCGTAGGAGGTGTAGAGAACGAGTCATAGGAAGTGTAGAGAACGAGTCATAGGAAGTGTAGAGAACGAGTCATAGGAATGTAGAGAACGAGTCATAGGAAGTGTAGAGAACGAGTCATAGGAAGTGTAGAGAACGAGTCATAGGAGGTGTAGAGAACGAGTCATAGGAAGTGTAGAGAACGAGTCATAGGAATGTAGAGAACGAGTCATAGGAAGTCTAGAGAACGAGTCATAAGAAGTCTCTAGACATACGATTCTTACAACTTGTACAAAAATTCTTCATCTCTTAGCTTGATGGACAAAAGAAAAATCTAGTTACAATAGAATCTCTGGGCTTTTTTCTCGACATTTTGGGAGCCATCTTTATGTCCCGGGTAGAGTGAGTCAGGTCGATACGTTTTCCTCACATCAAAGGAGAAAATCTTTCAAGTCAAAATCTTTGAGAATCCCGACAGAAAGTTCCGAGTAAGCATGTCCTCGCCTGCACCAAACATATTACCATTTAAACGACTGATCGACCAATCACATTCTTCCCTATCCGCTCTGATTAACGTGATTACTGGTGACAAGAGCAGGAGACGCAAATGACAGATTACATGTTGATTGGACTAACTAACTGCTTGTGTATGCATGTTATTACCTGTTCAGTAATGGCTTGGCAATATGTGAATGGGTTTTCGATTGCACAGTTGGTCGCCATCTGAGAAAGGTAAAGCGGAAATATTAGAGTGTTGGAGCTATTACACTATACTGAAATGAAATATGTGATGTTTAGTAAATTTTAAAATGTGTAATAATCTCAAACACGTCATAAATACATCATACCTGACATATGATTTGCTTTTTCCTCTTTCATCTAAAACAGAAGAAATACGGTAAATAAAAAAGGATTATTGAAGAAAAAAAATATGAACAATAAGGAGATAATTCGATTAATAAAATGTGATCATCGGTTTTTTTTTCTGCCGGAAGAATAACGGAGCGGGTAGTGACAATGTCCTTACCATAATAAATAGGATTACTTATCACCATTAAACTTACAGCCTACACGGGATTTTTTTTATCTATTTTATATATATATATTTTTTTTAATATCCGGCCGAATTAATGAAGCTAAAGATTAATAAAGGATTTTTTGTTTTTTTGAGGGGGATAAGGGGGGAAGGTTGGTTGAATTTTTCTATTAGCAGTTGTACAAATGTTATCAGCGGGCAGAGAAAAAAAAATACAGTATATTGGTTTTTACTTTCTTGTCTACTATGAGTTCCCTTTGATAGCTTTTCCTCGTCTGTCGGTCGTTCCTTTGATGAGAGAGAGAGAGAGAGAGAGTACCATACTTGTAGAACGTAAAACTTAAAAGAAAAAGGAAAAAGTACCCCTTTTTTTTTTTACTAGTTCAGGATCCTAGCGTGTACTTTGAGGGCAAATTAGGCGTCAGTGGTAAATACAATACTAAAGTAGGTAGGTAACGGGGGTAAATGGTGTTAAATTAGACTTAGTTATTTAAAAGGAAAGCTTGTTGGTATTAGGTTGAGGGAGCGATGTGTTAATCTAATGGTGGAGAAGGAGGAGGATGGGAAAAAGAAGGATGAAGACGAGGAGATAGAGGGGAGAAGAAGGAAGAGATGAGAAGGAAGAGGATGGGAAGAAGAGGTTGGAAGACGCAGGTTGAGGTAGAGAGGAGAATAAAGAAGGAGGAGGGGAGGGTGGGGGGGGAAGACGTGAGGAGGGAGGAGAGATGGAAGAAGAGGGAAAGGAAGAGACAGGCTGAGGTAGAGAGGGAGAATAAAGAAGGAGGAGGGGAGGGTGGGGGGGGAAGACGCGGGAGGTAGAGGGGAGGAAGAGGAGAAGGGAAGAAGAGGGGTGGAAGAGGCTGAGGTAGGGAGGAGAAACAAAAGGAAGAAGGAGGGAGGGTGGGGGGAAAAGTGAGGTAGAAGAGGTTAGATAAGGATTGTGGAGCTGGTAGAGAATTGTGTGTGAACTTGGCCATACCACGAGAGGGACAGAAGAAGAAAACAACAACACAACAAAAAACAATAACATTAACAACAACAATAACAATAACAATAACAAATAGCAACAATAACAAGAACAACAAAAAATCAAAAAATCAAATAGCAACAATAACAACAACACAAACAATAATAAAAGCAATAACAAAAACAATAACAAAAACAACACGAACAAGAACAAGAACAAGAAATAGAAGGCTGAAAAGAAATTCCATCTATGAAAGTGAAAAACATTATCGTGTGAAGAGAGACAAGGAGCCCCCAACTAGCACCTCGCCGGATAAACTCTAACCAAACCTTCCTTCACATAACTGTGTCCTGTAGGTTATAACAACATTGAACTTGTCTGTGTAGCACTTTGATCTTGGCTGAGACACCGACGACATCACACACCTTCATAGAAGAGCCCAATTCGCCGAAAAAATAGACATCGGGCAAAATGGGCAAATTTCCTTGAAAAAATAGCACTAGAAAGGCCGAGAAAGTAGCTGGAAAGTCATGCTAGTTCACTGGTAACTGCACTAGCTGCCGCCGTGTGGACTAATAGTTTGATTGATCTTAATTAAACCTTGATTAGATATTTTGTGAACTTTTGAAGTGAAGGAAGATCCAATTATAAACAAATTCATTCAACATCTGCTACCTTTGTACCTCAACTCACTACAGTCTGGTCAAATGTCATCATATCCGAGTACCAATAACACATATCTTACTGAGTTTCATCAACATAAAACAAAGAAATGATATCATGCGTCCACAAGATATTAATAATAAAACAAAAGACACTTCCAGACAATATGAATCCAAACAAAAAAAGCGAAAAAAACAATAGACTTACATTGAGGAGGGGACGAATTATTTTGTAATTTTCTGGGACAATCGTGTTGAATGCTTTTTGTGTATGAATGAATAACACCGTCAATTATACTGTCTGGGTGGACGTGAACAATTCTTTTATTGAACTATCGTATTGTTGATGTGTTATTGTGTGCTAGTCAATACTGAAAAAAAATTATTATTAAAGAGAAACTTACAATGTGAGAGCCTGTGTATGTTTTTGGGCTGCTGGGGGACATTATTTTATTATAGTCATCATCATCATCATAATCATTATTATTTATATATCATTAAGAGGTTTATTGTCATTTTCATTATTAGCGTTATCATTAGTTTTGTCGTAACTGCTAATAATTTTGTTTCATCATCATCATCATCATCATCATAATCACAGTTATGGCTACAACTAATACCATTTCACAATTTAATTATTCACACACACACACACACAGACACACACACACACACACACACACACACACACACACACACACACACACCTCGTCTAACCATCCCCGCTGGTGTACAGTGAATTATGGAGCATCTAGGCGTAAAGGGAGAGGAGGTGTAAAGGGGAGTGGGAAATGAGAGGTAAGTGAGAGGTGGGGAGAGGGGAGGTGAGGAGGAGGGATTAGGATAGGGGATTGAGGGTAAGGGATTAATGGGGAAAGACGAGGTAACACACTAACAGACACAGAGATGAACAGGTAGTACATGCTGACACACACACACACACACACACACACACACACACACACACACACACACACACACACACACAGGAACTTATCTATATCCCAAGCTCTAGTTCCGACTATCAGAAAACCCGTCCCCAAATCCGACTGAGCAAGCAGGCGTTGGGGAGAAGAAGTGGGGTGGGGGGTGATGGGGGTGATGGAGGGGGGGGTGATGGAGGGGGGATGGAGGGGTGATGGGGGGTAGGTGCGAGTCGCTGATGATGGGGAGGAGAAGGAGGAGGAGGCAGTAGGGAGGGAGGGAAGGGAGGAGGGAGGGATGGATAGAGGGA